CATGGGTGTTAACTCCCCTCAAGTTATGACCCGTTTTGCCCTATAAAATAATGATTGCATCTAATATTAAAATAAAGATGGCGGAGTATAGTGTTTATAGGATTACTTGGAGTCAAGATCCTAGAAAGTTAGTATTTATATGCCTGTGTGTTTTTTGTTTTGTTTTTTCACTGTCTTTGACTTTCCCAGTGTGTTTGTTGCTGTTGACAACAATTCAGTCCTTTGTAAGGCTTCAGTCAATGTTTTTCGTAGGTACCCAGCTCCTCGTTGGGCACTATGTAGCTGGTGTGATATATTTATCACAGACAGTGGGACAATTGTCACATTTAGTGCTCCAAGAAAATATTCTCTGTCCATGTGTATTTATACAAATAGATGCAGTTTCTTTGGCTTGAATAACATTCACTGGCTTCGTACATACAGGTATACTGGTTTAACTGTTTGTAGTTGAAATTTAGCCAATCTTATTACCCAAGACAGTTGGACATATGCCACATGTCACAACACTAATTTCCAAGTGCCACAGCTTAAAACAAGCAGTCAAATCTGATATTGGCTGAGCTTTTGTGTATATGGACATGGCAAATGGCAAACTAGATGGTCAGAAAGTAATAAAAATAATCACAGCTTTACTCCACCCACCCTACTATGAAATAAAGGCTGTTTATAAAGCCATTTATGATGGTTTCATGTTTCTTATGGAAAACCATTTTAATTATAAACTTCTATGCTCCTGAACCCAACCGTGGGGACCCGTCATACTGAACAACAGGTGTCACTATTAAGAAAAATATACTTTTTTTATATTATAATTACTATTATTAATATACTGACTCCACAGTACTGTTTCATAAGGTACATGGAGTACCTCACTCATCAGGAGTTAAGACTTTATTAAATAAACCACCGAAACAGACGTTATAAGCGCTACAGATTTGCATAACTGCATAACAATGGAGTGGGTTTACGGTATTAAAATTAGTTGTTGCATAGCAACGATTTGGCTCTGTGTCTACAGGAAAAATAAAGCTCATTTCTTTTTTTTAAGGTAGAGATGCAGTTTACCTGACAGGTATTTTAATTAGTTAATTAGGAAACCAAGATGACCTCCCTTGTCCACAAAACTATATATTTTCGGAAAGCTTATTGTATGAATTTACAAATTTAAAAGTATTTCTTTTATGAACACTGCAGTTTGAAATATTTTTTGGTCAAAAATGATTTAAAAAAAAATAGCTTCTAAACCATGCTTCTGTTTCCTGTCAAAATTGGTTTTACATGTACATCTGTTTACTATGAAGAAAGTGCTGTCTTGACAACTGTCTACCAGTTGTCAATTTTGCAGGGCAGCAGCTCAAATTTCACTAATTCAAGTTTATGCATAATTAACACCCAGGCTAGTTTTCTGTATGATTGTTGTAACACTGTTCAACCAAAAACAATGCCCCGACGGCGTTTTGAAGATAAACACATTGTCAATCATTTGTGAAAATTTCAAAACAAAAGGTCAAAGCGTCTAGGAGCTATTCTTTTTAAATTTCTGGGATGTGCACTAAAAAGAAGCTGAGATAATTGCTAATTTGCATTACAATTCACTCAGTAAGAAGTTTGCTAATGCTCATAATTAAAATGGATGTAACAGTTCCAAATTTAAATGTATTATCATTTTGTAAATAGTTAAATGTAATGCGTAATATGGAGATCCCTTCATTTCTTTTTTTCACCATGTTTCTTTTTTATTATTTATGTACAGCCTTGATAAACCTTGCTAAGAATTCAAAAGAGAGAATGTTTGCACCTGTTATCTATATTCTAAAATCGTCTGTTGAGTATGTTCCACTATTCACAATTTACAAAATTCTATCCAAGACTGTTTGGATAATAAAAAGCAAAAAAAAAATGTCACTCCCAAGTGCCCACGAACCGGCATCTCTACCTTAAACTACAGTATCGTGGTTGGAAAATTATAATATATTTCTCTCTAATGCATAAGTTGCAACGTTTGCTTGAAGTATTATATGATGCAGCACGCGATAACACTCTCCATTTAATGTCATAATCGATGTTATTGTCTTTTAATGACCAAGAGTATTTACTGAGCTCTGTTGCGTTTCTTAATGACTGGTTGCGTAGCGATGCAGTGTGGTTTCTGTACCGGGTTTTAAATTCATTACCTGTTAGTCCCACATATGTTTCACACTTGTTGTTGTCTTGCCGTCTGGTAATAGCTTGGTAAACCAAGGCCGATTGTAAACAATTTCCGTCTAAGGGACATTCAGATTTCTTACGGCGTCACTTGTTGATAAGTGTTTCCAACAGGAAAACAAACTCAGGAAAATGTTCAGCCGTAACACCATCAAATTGAGCTACAGATGTACGAATAACGTGAAGCAAATAATCTGCAATCAAAACAAACAACAACTTACAGCGGCCAACACCAATACACCCAGTACCGAGATTAACAGATTATGTAACTGCCGTATGAAATCTGAAAGTCCCTTAGAAGGAATTTTTTTACAATCGGCCTTGGTTTACCAAGCTAATATCAAACGGCAAGACAACAAGTGTGAAACATATGTGGGACTAACAGGAAATGAATTTAAAACCCGGTACAGAAACCACACTGCATCGCTACGCAACCGAACCAAAGGTGAGTGAATAATACAGCTCATGACATCAACCAGCTCCACAAATAAATAATTAGAGGCGATGACGGTTTTATCATAATCGAACAGTCAAAACAAAGAAGACATTTTACCGAATTTAGCTTACGAATCTCCTTAGTGTTTTGTCTAAGCGTCGTTCGTGTTTCGAATTCGAAGGAATTATAACCATTTTCAGCGTTTTTTTTTAAATAAATTTTCACTCTTTTATTGGCTTTTATTTGTTTTTTATTTTATTTTTTATTTTTTTTTTTTTTTTTACTTTTATTGTCATTGGAACATGTTTGTAATTGTTATTCGGTCTATAACCAAAGGCAAAAAACTCGAGCAGTCGTATATTACATCTTCGTGTTACATAGTTGATATGGATGGGTTTTCACCCAGGTATATACTATGACATAAGATAATTATAATACTATTCATTTACATTAATAATTAATAGGCATATTTCAAAAAAACAAATATCACATGTTTTTGAGTAGGCTCGACATTATACTCCAGAATATATCAAAATATAATTTGAGGTAAATTGGGATGGAGCATCCGCATCTGAGCATCTGATTTTATTTCAAAATTCAAGTTTAAAATAAATGATATTGATTTGCTATATCGCATTGTGTTTTGAGAAGTAGATTTTTTAATCCATTGAAATATTATACCTAACTTTTTCCAACGTTAATGTTTTTTTCCATATCAAGATTGATGTGACTTGGTTTGGAGGTGGGGAGGGGTAGAGGGGATACTAGGCTACACGGTTCCCTATGTAACATGTGGGTTACTATACATAGATCTATTGCAGTTGTTTTTTGATTTGTCTAAGAATAGTACACATTAATTTGTTTTATTTTTGTTTCACTTTCAGATTCACAATGAAGTACCCATATAAGATTATTGTATTTATAGTTTTGGGCTGCATGCTATTTATGCTATTTAATATTCGTAATAAAAACAATGCAGTGAACAAGAACAAAAGTACTGACCCATTGATGGAAATTCCCAGGTACAAATAATATTTGAATATCGATTACAGATTAATTATTTGATCAAGTTAAGAAACACTGATATTTTCGTACATACTGTCAAAAAATGGTTAATGGTGGTAGATATTAACAAAATAACGATACCAATGTAAGTGATATCAATTAATTCAGTAGAGGGTATGTTTGATTTACGTCATTCCTGTATTTATATGTTTTATTGAATATCCAACCTTCAACCACAGGCAAACACTGTTTGACACTCCATTTTGCAACGTACACGTTATTCTGATTAAGTTGTGTTACTATAAACTTGAATCTTGAACATTAATCACATACATGTATCTGGTCTTCAACTATTTTCATTAGCAATACACATTTAACAGAACAGTTGATATGGTGTTTACGATGGTCAACCTGACCATAAAATAGTAAACTCAATGTTAAATAAATGTTTAATTATTAATGTTCATCTCTACCTTCTCCTCTATTTGTAGGAGCAGCAACGGTGAATTATTTACAAACAAAACTGGAGCAAAAATTGTTAATGAATCAAAATGGGAAATATCAAATATAGTGTGAGTATTGTTGTATAGCACTTCCAATGCAATTATGTTATTTTAAACATTTAAAACATGCGATAGATTAGTGTTCTACCTAAGTAGAGTACATTGTAACCAGCCTCAAGTGATCAAGTTTGAACATACACACAGACAGAAGACTTTTATACAGGTTTATTGCGCTTCGTGTGCGTGTCAATTCAGTAAAGGCAAATTAGAGATTTTGACTCAAATATTTGTACGGGGATACATTTTGCGCGTAGCTACGACCAACACGTTTTCGGTCGTTGTTATGGCAACAGTAGGAGGGAACTATTTTTTTTCAAATTTGCCTACTTTTCTAGAGTGAAGGTAATACCTGCCTGTTAAGTTTGACCAATGTTGCCCTCCTCAAAAAACACAATCACAGAAAAATTAAAAAAGCCGTTTCTGGCGAAAAGTTACCCCAACTTCAAGGTCAAATTTTTAGGCAATGAAAAACTATACAAACAAAACCAATAGTAACTTTGGCTTCACGCTCAAGTTGAATAGAATGAACAATTTTGTTTTTGCTTTATTGCAAGATTTGGAGGAGAAGATACATTTCAAGGTATTTAAAATCTGTGTTTCAGCTGTTGCCACGGCAATGGTGAACCAGAAGTTTTTCTAAGATTTCACCATCTAAACTATAGGATGATGGCACGACCTGCCTACCAAGCTGGAACCAAATCGCTCCCGCCCAAAAAATCACAGAAAATTTAATGCGTGAAAATGACACATACACACAGACAAGCCTGTAGGCTGGTTGGTGATCCGCTCCGCTCAAAAACAAACAAACAAACAAACACCATATTTTCAGCTGTTATGATAAAACATGAACGTGAAGCTAATGTCGGTTTATAACTACAATTGGGCCCGTATACGAAGTTCTTAAAGAGCATTCAGTCTTTAGAAGTTACTTCACTTTATTACTAGCACGTATTCTGCTGTTATAATTAATATTTCCGAGCAGTTTTCGATTGTATGTTCTTGACTAGGTTTCTTTGAGTGGGCGTAGCTTTTACATTTTATTCAAAGTTGCGTTGGGATTATGTTGATACAGTGTAACAATGTCGGTGCCGGTGATCTGCGTCGGTGCTCAACTTAACCAAAATAAAAAGCATGATAATTTGAACACTGCTATTACAAAACTGGTAGGAAGTAATAAGTTTGGGGCATTTAAGAATCAGTTTTTTGGCTGTTGACAAGACAGCTGCGGGCGAGGATGTTTTCCGACTAGTGACGGTTTGACGTGACTGCCAATATGAACAAAATTGGCCACGCCAAACAAATCACAGAAGAGTTAAAAAAAACCGCTACTGGTGAAAAGTTACCCAAACTCTGAAGTCAAATTTATCGGTAATGAAAATAGATATAAAAAAAACAGTAAGTAACTTTGTGCCCATGCTAAAGCTAAGTAGAGTAAGTCATGTCCGAGCTTTTTAATATAAGAATAATAGGGTGAGATACATTTGGCGAAAAGATATTAAAAATGAGTTTTTTGGTTGTTGCCATGGCAACGATGAACCAGCAATTGTTTCAGATTTTACAACCTAACTAGAGTGAAGATGGGACTTGGTTTCCAAGTTTAAACTAAATCAGCCCAGCCAAAAAATCACAGAAGACTTCAGAAGCTGTTGATGGTGAACAGTTACCCCAACATTGGGGTCAAATTTCTCGGTAATAAAAAAACAAAAACAAAAAATGAAATAGTAACTTTGTGCCCACACTCGAGCTGTCCGATATGTTTAATTCTAAGTTGTGGGAGGAGATACATTTGGCGCGAAGCTATTTAAAAATCATTTTTTTGGCAGATTTTTTTTCCAGAGTTACCGAGTAACTAGCGTGAAGATTAGACCTACCTACCAAGTTTGAGCGAAATCAACCCAGGCGAAAAAAATAATACGTGAAAACACTGAAAACGACACACAGACACACACATTTACGTCGTACCATTGTTGTATCGACACTCGTTGAATTAACTTTTAATATAGTTGCGATATGAACTCTATTAAAACGCGTTCTTATATAGGGAATTACAATTCGATGCAATACAACGTAGAATTGCGTTTCAATTAAGTTTAATTTAATAAAAGTTGAATATCTCGTGACTGAACATAGAAATGTTTGCAAAGCTTATGTTTAGTAAAGGGGAAGGTATGGTACAATTATATTAATATCAATATAAATTGAACCATACCTTCCCCCTTTAGTAAACCTAAGCTTCGCAAACTTGACTTAAATTCGATTAATATT